AAGTCAGCGACTATGACCAAGTCTGACCAAGACTGTATCACAAACACTTGAAATCAATTATATGAAATTAGAGGTCTTTTATAAATGATAACAGAGGAATGAAATGTGATTTCAGTCGTCCTCGTGGTGTCCTTATGTCCCTTTTGAGCAATAAAGCAGCTTTATATTGTAGAGAAACAGTAGCAGCTCAACATGTAGTAGAAAAGACGATACGGCTACATTTATGCACAGTTAAAACCACAAATCAGAAAATGATGCATGCACGGCTAACTTAAAGCCAGCAGAGACGGACCAGTGAAACCAGATCTACTCACCATGGGAGACGGGGACAGAGCTATGTTGCCTATGGAGGCTTTGAGCTCATCGACCGAGGGCGCCTCCACAACACGATCGGGCGGCAGCGGCTTGATCTTGATCTTGAATTTTTTCCTGTGGTCCTCTTCTCCCTCGGACTCATCGGAGGAGAAGAAGTGAGACTTTTTGGTGGCGAGTGAAAGAAAAATGTCAAGGAAAACAAACGTTTACATTTCATCTTAAGGTTGATGAGAAACCCAGGAACCACATTCCCCGGTGAAGCTTTGTGTGTCTGTACTTAAATCTTTTCTTCTTTACAAAAGTCTGTTTTCTGTGACATCATCCTGTTTAAGACACATTCACAGACACTTAGAAATGTTCTTTTCTGACCCACTTTATAAATTTGTTTTTAATTACTTTTTTATTAGCCACATAATAAAAACGAAGACTTTTCTGTATCTTAAATCTGCTGCCTAAACACCTTTTTAAAGAGCTTGAGCCATTTCTCAGTAAAACACTAATCATATTGATCTGTTCTGTGAGCCGAGTCACGTTTGTCTTCCATCACATGCACGACAAAAACTGACCCAACAGTGTGCAGCAAATGCGACACAAACAATGAAAGCGATCCAGTTCTCGCCAAGTAACGTGACAGAAACTGCCACGTATTAAAAACTGTGCTGAGGATATCTTCCTCTTCTAATTCATCTTCAGGTCTGATACTGTAGCCTTCATCATCCACCTCAGGAGAGTTCTGAAAGACACAATGAGTCTGAATGAAGGTGACAAACAGCAGCTGTTCCTGCAGAGTAAAAAACCCCACACAGACAACCCACATCCACCGTGTAAGCTACACACGTAAACCCGCTGACCTGACAGGACCATCTACAAACAACTAACATATGTGTGAAGCTGTTGATATGTTTTATAAAACACAGAAGAGTCACGACATGAAAGTGAAACCAACAAACAGCCTTGAAAGTCATCTCGGGCCTACAAAGCAGTTTTTACTTACGTATCTGTCCCAGTCGATATCTCCATAGAAGCCATTCGGGGCCCCGTTCGTCTTCTTCTGAGAGCGAGAAAACAGAAACAGTTTGACTAAAATCTCACCAAACAAAAAACGATACCTGCAACTGCATTACACACCTACACAGTGGAACTACGTCTCAGCTAATCTCAAACACCTTGAACTCCAGATTTACTCTGAGGCTGCTCTGTTACGTTAGCAGCTCCTCAAATCATCAAATTGGCTGTTTTTTGTTTTATGTTAGTCGATGGAGCTGAACAGGATTTCAAGACTGAGGTTTCATCATAACTCCAAATGACTTGGTGTTGTTCCCCTAACGCCCCCCACACCCCCACAAAGTTTCCTCAGAGAGCCCGCTAAAGAACAGATAGCTGAAACAGCTGCACTTGCATCAGACTGATGAGTTAAAGAACATACTGCGACGTCTATGACCAGTCTAAGCTCTACACACTACACTTCTCTAGAGTGTGGTCTCGTCTAAAAAGCTGAGCTCAGTACCGATTCAACCTCTCGAGGTTCCTGTCAGGTGAAAAGAACAGAAAAAGAAAAAACTCAAAAACAATGTGCTTCACAAATTTCTCTGATGACACGGGCTTACATAAATACATAAAACTGTTTCTGTTACTTACACCATCTCTGTCTGGAGACCCCCTGTGCAAACCAAAAGAAAGGAAAATGTCACTTAAGACACAACTTCTTCATTTAAGTCTTTTTCTGATTAATCCAGATACAAAAAAGGTTTTCACATGATCATAGTCACACACTTCCACAGACACGCAGGTTCATAACACTTCAACTGCTTTGTGTAAGATTAGAACATGGCTACAAGGCAGCAGTTTCCTTTATTATGACTGTCGTAGTTACATAAATGCAGAACATTTCTTCCCTTTATCTTACACAAAAAACAAGCAACAAGTATTGTAAGCTTGTGTGAGATCCTAAATAACACACGACATACAATAAAGTGTCTACAAAGTCTATACAGTATTCAGCAGATGATTACAGGAAGCTGCTTTCTAGCATTTCACGTATTTGACATACTAATCCTGTAATTGTTCTTCCTGACCACAATCCCTTCATTCCTTTGCCATAAATATGCATAACCTACTGTCACATATCATTCCCCCCCCCGAGTGTTCAGTCAGCCTGTGGCTCCACTTCACAGCATCATAGTGAAGCACTAATAAGCTCTGTGCGTGGATCAAACAACAACAGAGGACTTACGTGGAATCATTGTCCTTCTCTTTCTTCCGTATCCCAAAGGCCTTCCTGGTACGTTTTTTCAATCCTGAAAAGAGAAAAAGGTGAATTATTCTATGCAGAAACAAAGACGTGACTAGAAGTTGAAGCTTTCGTGGGTTAAAGGCTCAGTGAATGACTCATCCATCACCCAGGAAATTAAAGAAAACGTTTTATGTGTTATTTAGTGACTCATTGCATCAATGCGAGGTCAAAAAAAAGAATGAAAACAAAGTTTTGAGCACAGCGAACATCAAGAAAGCAGCTGAGAAACTGCTGACTTTTAATGCACCGAACAGGAGTTTGATTACTAGCTCAAAATGCTCGCAGACAAACTCACAAGGTGAGAACAAAATCAGCCATTAAGTTACTGGAGTTGGTAATTACTCAGTGATTCATGGGTCATACCAAACCAGCCTTCTACAGTCATCACCTCACATCTCCTGAAGCTCTAATGGAGCCGCTCATTGAAAAACAAACGATTACAGCGCTGGTGTGTTTAGGCCTCGAGGAAGCTCGAGTTAATGCCTTAAAACAAAACGCATTTACTCCGTGGACTCCGTACAGCTGCGGGACAAAAGGTGAAAAACAAGAAACGCAGACACTGTTCACATGAAACTTGTGGACTTTCTCCTGTTTTACCAATTTAAGCACAAAGTATCCTGTTTGTTCAGGAATCACTCTACAAAAACAACTCTGCCAGTTGACCACCACATTAGTCCAGCTTCAAGTTTTAAAAATTAAATATGTAATCTTAACCTTAATCTGTAATCCTCCTGTCTATGAAATGAGTCGTGTTTAATTTAGTTACATTAGGCTAAACAAACTCAAATGCTCGCACCTCTTTCTTACCCCAAATGAAGGCCCAGCTGTCCTCCATTTCTTCTCCAATGTTTCCCTTACTCTCATGCTTCCTCCTCTTTGTGTGGTTGCGATCTCATCACATAATCTAAGGACCAACCTCACACCACATGCAGTTACACACAAGTCTCCAACCAGAAACTTGATGCTACTTCACACACACACAAAACGGTATCGTGCTCCTGTCCTTGATGTGTTCTGGTACTCAAATTCAACACCAGTGACCCTACTCATGAATAAAAGACAAATATCATCATCGTAGTCTCCTGCTAAAAATTAAGAGCGTCTACAG